CTTAAAACAATAGTCCTCAACACTTTTTGTACCAAGGACCGGTCGGTCGATACGGCCGCTAATGCGGACCAATAGGACCTCGTCGATTGTTGAGGGGTCATTAAAATTTCAAAATAAAATGACACATTTTTTTAAAAAATATTGTCGGATTATTTTTAAATAATTAAAGTAAATAGCCATGACTGAATTTTCTTTAAATGAAGTTAATTAGTAAAAACAAAGTTGTGTCTTACTGTGGCTCGGAACCACATACGGGTCCAAAGACCAGGGGTTGAGCACCCCATATTTGGATTATTCAATATTTTTTTATTTGACTTTTAACCTGTGGAAAACTAATTTTACTCCCAATTTTAAAAAAAAAATTTTTTTTTCAAAATTTTTTGTAACAAAACCCACCTCAAAATCTACATGTTTATGTGAATCAATATCAGTAATCTGATTATAATCCATGTCAATAAAATTCCACGCTGTACTTCTGTGTCACCCCAAGATGACATTTTTAAAACCGCGACCCACAGTTGAACCTCCCTGTGTCATTTTCCCACTCCACTCTAATAAACCAACAGATAAAGACGTGACGTGACGTGACGTGACGTGCACGGAGCTCGAACGGTTCATATACATTAGAGACCGTGAAAAATAATCTACAACATGTTCCGGGAAAATAAAGTCAGCTTCAGACTTTTGTCTGTTTTTGATTGAAACGTCCTTCCTGTCATCTGAGGGAAATGTCAAACTCATCCATCTCTGCGGCTCCGTCTGCTCCGCCGTCGTCTTGAGCTGATTTTATTTCTTATTCCTCAGTGATTTCTGGGCTCTCAGCCTAGCCGAGGAGACGGTGACAGGACGAGGACGAGGACGAGGACGAGGAGGAGGAGGAGAGCGAGCACTAAATGCATCAGGCCAATTAATCAGCATTAATGATAAAAGGGAGAGGCCGCAGTTTTGGGAAAACTCTGCACATTTATCACGGTGACACATTAAAACACACATTTACCAAAAAACACCATAATGTTTGGACTGGTGTTCTGCCAATGGCAGAGAAGGAAGTACAACAGCAGATGTCGATGTTTATTGAAGAGCCCGCAGTAAAACCACAAGTAAGCAAAAGGCAGATTAATTATCCAGAGTGATCCAAACTTTTTTTTTTTGCAATTTAAAAAAAAAATCATGTTTTTTTTGTTGTTGTTGGGTAATTAATATAAAAAACCTCACACTGACGTCTGATGTGAGTAATTTAATGAACAGGTTTGTGTCGGTGACAAACGCTGCCCCGTAGGTGTTGTCATAATTATTTGTACAGAGATAAATAAAACTGGTGTTTTACACCGGGTCGACACGACGAAGACGTTTGACGAGTTCATAATGATAATTAATACTGATGATATATATATAAAAAAAAGAGTTTTTATTGGATACAGCACATAAAAGTAACAGCTATCACCTTGGTTTTTAAAAACAGGAGCTTCAACAGGGGGCGCTGGTGTTTGGATGGATTTAATGACACCGTTACTGTGATTTCTACTGGATTATTATTGTAATTTTTACTGGATTATTATTGTGATTTTTACTGAATTATCACTGTTATTTTTACTGTTATTTTACTGGATTATTATTGTAATTTTTACTGGATTATTACTGTAGTTTTTACTGGATTATTACTGTGATGTTTACTGGATTATTACTTTGATTTCTATTGGATTATTATTTTGATTATTACTGGATTATTACAGGTTTGTGTCGGTGACAAACGCTGCCCCGTAGGTGTTGTCATAATTATTTGTACAGAGATAAATAAAACTGGTGTTTTACACCGGGTCGACACGACGAAGACGTTTGACGAGTTCATAATGATAATTAATACTGATGATATATATATAAAAAAAAGAGTTTTTATTGGATACAGCACATAAAAGTAACAGCTATCACCTTGGTTTTTAAAAACAGGAGCTTCAACAGGGGGCGCTGGTGTTTGGATGGATTTAATGACACCGTTACTGTGATTTCTACTGGATTATTATTGTAATTTTTACTGGATTATTATTGTGATTTTTACTGAATTATCACTGTGATTTTTACTGTGATTTTACTGTGATTTTTACCGTGATTTTTACTGGATTATTACTGTGATTTTACTGGATTATTATTGTGATTCTTACTGGATTATTATTGTGATTATTACTGGATTATTATTGTGATTTTTACTGTGATTATTACTGAATTATTACTGTGATTTTTACTGTGATTCTTACTGGATTCTTACTGTGATTTCTATTGGATTATCACTATAATTTTACTGGATTATTACTGTGATTCTTACTGGATTCTTACTGTGATTGTTACTGGATTATTATTGTGATTTGTACTGGATTATTACTGTAGTTTTTACTGGATTATTACTGTGATGTTTACTGGATTATTACTTTGATTTCTATTGGATTATTATTGTGATTATTACTGGATTATTACTGTGGTTTTTACTGTGATTTTACTGGATTATTATTGTGATTTTTACTGGATTATCACTGTGATTTTTACTGTGATTTTTACTGGATTATCACTGTGATTTTTACTGTGATTTTTACTGGATTATCACTGTGATTTTTATTGGATTATTATTGTGATTAATACTGGATTATTACTGTGATGTTTACTGGATTATTACTTTGATTTTTACTGAATGATCACTGTGATTTTTACTGTGATTTTTACTGTGATTTTTACTGTGATTCTCACTGGATTATTACTGTGATTTCTATTGGATTATTACTATAATTTTACTGGATTATTACTGTGATTTCTATTGGATTATCACTATAATTTTACTGGATTATTACTGTGATTTTTTACTAGATTATTTTCCTGATTTTTATCTGTGCCATCATCATGTTTTTCACCAAAGTTTTCTGATCCCATTCAATCCAAGGTCGGTCTACGTAGACCAGAGGTCACCGACCTACATTTGTCGTGGAGGCAGAATCTTCCTGGACAGACACCAGGTGGGTCGGACACTCAAAAATAAAATGAAAATAAAATAAAATTTCGGTCTGACACTACTGTTCGGTGTTTATTTCGGAATTCAGTCGTGACCAGATCTGATGTGTCGATGTTTTGGGACTGTTGAACTACTACTAAACTACTAACTCAACTACTAAATCAATGGCTTTTCTTTAACACAGATCGACCCGTTGTCTCTGCTGACGACGAGGCTATGCTAACTTTTCCTTAAACTCGAACCAAAACAACACGTGAATTTGTCCAAATTAACATCTCAGCAGTCGTAAAAGTTAATCCAAATTAACATCTCAGCAGTCGTAAAGGTGCTGCAATCGTCGTTTTTCCTAAGGCAGTGAAGGCATCGCTGGCTTAACTGTAACGACCTGGAGCTGCTGCTCCCTCTACTGACCAAACAGTTGTATGACCCTGAAATCCAAATTCAATCACATGGACTTATTTGCCCAGAGTTGAGGTGAAAACTTCACCCCTTCTCCTTCCAGAGGTCAAACATCTTACGAGTGAGTACTCTCAGCGAGTACCCTGAGAGTCCAAACATCAAAAGGCCCGGTGTATACTACTGTGTACTCTGTACTGCTGTAATACTGTGTTGGTGAGCACACGATTAAACTGAAAAGGAAAGTGCTGGAAACACGAGATAAAAAATGTCTTTCAAATGAATCTTTGTGTGAAATCTTCATTAATGATTTGAATCAGTGACACCGGTGTCAAGGCCCGCGAGGCCGGCGTTCATGGGAACAGACAAAAGCAGTTTTTCTTTTACCAAACTACTCCACTACAGACTCTGAATAGTGATGAGAGATTTCACTACGCAGAGAGAGAAAAAAAAGCTGCTTCACAAATTCAGTGTCAGGTAAAAGTCAACAACAATAAAACGGCAGCCACGGATTCTGATCATTTAAATTCTCTCACTAACGGCTTTTTTTTTTAAATTTTACTAAAGTTATTCTAAAAGCAGAGAAGAGATGGAGATGTCACTGTTTTCTGCGTGGACACTTTTTTAACACGGAGATGATGCCAATGAAGCAGTGAGAGAAAGACGCGTTCATGTTCTTCATCATCATCATCATCGTCATCATCATCATCTAAAAAACGTTCTTGACCTGAGGATTCAGCAGCACGAAACCCTAACGAATTTTTATCTTTTAACCTTAAATTTCACCAGTAATGAATACGAAGAGACGAAGTTTCTAGAGACATTAACTTTAAAACACAGGGAATATCAGTAGCCTGTTAGCAGCTAATTAGCAACCACCGTGTTAGCTTCTCAGGTGCAGATACAGTTTTTTTTTTTCGTAATTTAAAAAACACAGAATAAAGAGAAAATTTAAAGCAGTTTTATCATTTGATTAAAAAAAAAAAAAAAGAAGGCATTTTTATCTGAAAAACTTGCAAAGGGCATTCAGAGAAATGTAGCATCGCTATGCTAACATTCTTTGTGCCTGGGCTTTGATTGTACTTATAAAGCGGTGGAGTCTGATGACGACCTTGATGAAGTCGAAGCCATTTTTCACTAACATTTTTTTTTTTGTGATCATTTATGATATTATTTTCTGCTGCATCAAATAAACTTATATTTGATATTGGACTGCTCACCTAAAAGACAACATCGCACAGGCTAACGCACACTGAACTACAGTTCCTACTTAAAATGTGTAGTTCAATTAAAATTCACCCAGTTTTACTGACACAACACACCATCCTGAAACCTTTTGACTCACGGGCTACAACTGGTCCCATTCAATTTTAGGGTCATGTAAAAGTCGTGCTAAAATGCCCTTAGCCGTTTCAACGCCATCTATTGGGGAGATGCAGGTATTGCAGGGAAAAGGCAGAAGTGAAATGATAATATTAATCATTATATAATTAGAACAAGTTTAGTGGACCTGAGTAAAAAGCTGAACGGGCCGCATGCCGCCCCCCGGGCCATAGTTTGCCCATGCCTGGTCTACACTGTAGAATTAGGAACATTTTTGTGTCCAAACCTTGATGTCCATACTGGGATCCTTGTGGTCCGTATGAGCTGGAGTGGCCAGTTTGGGAGTAGGGAGCCATTCCGGGATACAACGGCGCCCCTGGTGAAGGATGTGGGGACATGGCAGGTCCAGACTGAGGAGGAGCAAACTGGGAGGAGGTCTGGTTCCTCTGCACGTTGGACATAAACCCTGGAACATCGGAAACCAGAGTTAAACCAGTGATTGGATCGTAGCTAGCGTGCTACGCTGACGTAGCCGCTCTGTCGTTGGACGTTCCTCGGCCCCTTGGTTCCGCGGCGTTGCCCTTTTAAGATGCACCGTTTGTTCTTTAAACCCACAGACAGGTTCTCCAGAGAGAGAAGTCACCGGACGGGGGTGAAGTCCACGTCGGGTTTGGACCAGGTGTAAATATTCTGGATTTATCTGGATGTTTGTCAACAATGGGTCAACAACTATATTTTGAGGGAAGAAATATATCTAGAGAGTCACTTGGGGTTGATAGGGGGGGGGTTGACTTAAATAAAATGAAAATAAAAATCACATTTTTGTCCAACAATATTATTCGATGTTTATTTTGGAATCCGGTCGTGGACCGGAGTGAACGGTTTAGCGGGCCTGATTCTGCCCATGGGCCACCAGTTGATGAGCGCCGCTCTAATCTGTCATCTGTTATTTATTCTCATTTATTTATTTTCATTCATATATCTTCCAGTGCTTTTGTCTAGGGATGCTCAACCACCGGGGCAGGGACCAGTAGTGGGCCGTGGACCCAGTACAAAACAAACAAACCCTGACCATAAACCAGGAAGTGGAGTGTGTTTTATTTTTCACTTTAGTAAAAAGGAGGCTCTGTGTGTGAGTGTGTTTGTGTTTAGGAAAGAGACATACGCGACAAAAAACAGACAGCAGAGAGAGAGAGAGAGAGAGAGAGGAAGGGTGAGGGAGAGGGAGAGGGAGGGTGTGCGTGGGAGGCAGGAGACGGAGAGGAGAAGAACGATCGAGGCCTGAAAGTGCTTAGGCTGTGAGTGTTGGGTTTAAGAAGCGAGGACATTATTGTAATGTTTTGCTTCCATTAGGGGTGAGGACGAGGGAGGGGGGAAGGGGGGGGGATTCTGGGAGAGGAAGAGAGAGAGAGAGAGAGAGAGAGAGAGAAAACGCCAGTGTGTAATACCACACTTTAAATTGCCTGGAAAATGGATGAGGAAAGGAACATTCTGCAGACAGTGCTAAAAGCAAATAACACGTTCAAGGATTTCACTCTCTCTCTCTGCTTCACTCGCTCTCAACACACACACATATAAACCTTTCTCTCTTTCTAGAAAAGCAAATGAAGCTCTCAACTGGACAACAACAGACAGCCAGCGAAGCACGCGAGAGGAAGTCAGGGGTGGGAGTGGGGGGGGG